AATAATTATGACTAAGTTTATTGAGCTCTTCCTATGCAAACTCCTATATATTTCAACCTCTCGGGGAAAACCTTCCTCCATTTTCAGGCAAGATATCCTTCCACATATTCCAATAATTTGTATGTAGCACTATGAAAACATGTATCTGCCATACTATATTTGATAAACAGCTTTACTAAATGTTTCCTATGAAGATTGGGAGTTCAATGTAGGCAAAGGCGGCTCTTACCTGTCTTTGTGGTAACACGTCACAAAGTCTGAGAAATGCTGGAAGGGTGGATGCATAGCTCCATGCCAAGAATAAAATAATTAAAGGCAACAAGGACAAAAGAAGTAGAAGCATGACCCATCTCACGGTTTTCCCAGAAAAACAGTTACCACTAAAGTGAGTGCCAGCAACACTCCATGTAACAATCATATAACCCTGCAATAAAAACTGAGGCACAGCCGGGTGAGGTGGCTCACGCCTGTCATCCCAGTACTTTGTGAGGCCAAGGCGGGCCAATCACAAGGTCACTAGATCAAGACCATCCTGGCCAAGATGGTGAAACCCTGTCTCTACTAAAATACAAAAAGTTAGCCGGGCATGGTGGCACGCACCTGTAGTCCCAGCTACTCGGGAGGCTGAGGCAGGGGAATTGCTCGAACCCAGAAGGCAGGGGTTGCAGTGAGCCGAGATTGCACCACTGCACTCCAGCCTGGCAACAGAGCAAGACTCTGTCTCAAAAAACAAACAAACAAACAAACACAAAAAACTGAGGCACAGAGAGGATAAGCGGGTCTCTCAATGTGACACCACCAGAATGGTGGTATCAGAATTCGCACCCAGGTCTCTCTGGTATCTGGGCCTGTACACTTTCCACTTCAATAAACTTTCATTATAGGCTATTCAGAGAGCTAACATGGAAAAAAAAAATTATTAGTATAAAAACCCCATCTCCCAAAGATATTTTAATCACCTTGTATACAGTAGATGCTCAAGGCATGCTTACTGTTCAGGAGTCTCAGTGGCACAAAGCATACCCAAAGCTATCACTTAACATTTCTGTCTCCACTCTGCAGAAATCCTGGGCTCCAGCTACATTGACAGCCACCTCAGGGGTTACCAAGCAAAAAAAGCGTATCTCTAGAAAATCATCCTCTCTCAGCTGCCTGTCAAAAAAACGCTCCTCTTTTTCCATACTTCAAGTTTTTCCTTCCTGCCCAGACCCCATGAGCTTCAAAACTGTCCCAGAGAGTCTCTGTGACTCACAAACTTGAGGATCAAAGAATGTGATGAATTACACCCTGCAGGTCTCACTTGTGCTTGTGTCGGCCTCTGCCCAGGGCTTTTTGATGTATCTTTGGACCTTAACAAATATGACTCATTTTTTTTTCCCCCTTAATCACCTCAGGGTTAAACGCCTAAGCTCCTGGTCCTCTCCTATCAATGCAACAAATATGGCTCAATGAATTGCACTGCCTGGGACCACAAATCAAAGGCCGAGGCAGAATCGGTAGGGGATGTGAAATCACAGGTTGATTAGGGTTACATTGTCACCGGACTGGCCAATTACAAGCTCCAACCCGAGCTTTTGAAACCTGTCTCCCTGTTTGGTACAACTGAGAATGAAAAAGAATAGGCAGCTATTAATAACTGCATTTTCTCAACCAACATCGACCCTTTGAGCAGGGGTGGGTAAAGATGAACCTCTGGCTTCCCCAGGAGTTACACTTTCTGTAGTGTCTATCATGGATCTGCATCACGCTAGGTAGTTCATGCTGATAACGCCTTAGGTTGCCATCAGTACAATGAAGTGGCAACAGTTATCCCCATTGCTGATGCAGAAACCGAGACTAAAGTTTAAACCCTGTTCCTATTACGTTGCAGCTTGACTGTAAACAAGGTCTCCTGGACTTTGCACTTAGCTATGCTCCTGCATTTACGTGCTAAGTTAGAGGTAAAGACGCTCCGGAGACTGAGAGGGTCTTCCTTCTCGGGAAAGGATTTTGGAGCATTTGGGCAGAAATGCAGGAAGCTCAACAAGGTCTCAGGGTCTCTAGAAAATTAACAAATGGGACCTGTGAGATTCCTCATTGGAGGAGTTACATCAATGCTCTGGGCTTCGATTTTCTCTTCTGTGAAATGGGAACATGAAATGTTCTAGTAAGAATGATGGGAGGCTGAAGCAAGATAACAAAATACAGAGCACTGTGCCCCTTACTGGGAGGCACTTGGCATCAGGGAGTTCCTGTGACCCTTTCTCAGTGAAGGAAGGTGACGTCATGGGTAAGATGAGTTGATGATGTAATTTAAGGTGTAAAGCACCTTTCAGAACACAGAGTTGTTCAGTGTGTTATATGGGGAAAGAAGTAGGTAACAGACCTTGGCTTCCTTTGAGATATACTCTGAGAGGAGGCACTGCTGAGTTTCCTGCCTTCATCCTTAGCCAGGTCATGGTTCATCCTTAAGAACATGGGGGAGCAGGCGGGCAGGCTTCACCAAAGAGGCCCGGTCACATTCTCTAGCCCATCTCCTAAAAGCCCCATATTTTAAACATTTACATAAATTATGATTTTCTGATTGTAGGCTTAAAAGAAATGCTATTGACATCCTGTGTCCATTTCTCAAAAGCCCTATAGATTTGTCACCAATGAAGCCACACTAAATAATTAATGTCAGGTCTCAGAGGAACCAATGTTGAAAAAAGCAACGTTCATGCTGTGCCCAACTCCTGGCATGGAGGAAGTGCTCAATCAATGGCAGAATTGTCATTTCTGGTTTGTTTGTTTGTTTTAAAGGTCCGTTGTCTCGAGCTGGTCCCTTCCTTCTCCTCAGCCAGTTACACCTTCTGAAAGGCGGGGTCCTGCAGATGTGCTCAGAGTCCCCTCTCAGCCCTAACTCTCCACAGCTGTGAGGTCCAGGTGATTCTCAATACCGCACGATCATAAATGAATACAGTGGGCCCTGCTGCCTGGCCAGATTCACAGCTCATTCTCGTTTTATTCATCCTGACGCTTGCTTTTATTCCTGACTATTCCTTTTTCTGGCTCCTGACCTCTTTGCTCAGGCTTCTCCTGACTCTCTGGGAGTCGGAGGAGAGGGGGTCAGGGTAGTGAACAGCCAGCCTCCTTCAATGCGGTCTGCATTTCTCTGTTACGTTTTACAGGTACTGGTCCCTCCCAGGAACGCTCCCCAAGCTTTATGTACAGGTCACAGTTATAAAGCCCACTACATAGGATTTTATGGCTATGTAAACAACTGTGCCCACACAGATATTTCTCAAACTACCAGTGGTGAAGACAGCAGGAGAGGCACGGAAGCCCAAGGAGCTTGGGGGAAGAACCAGTTTTTCTCCTTCCCCCAATCCATCCTGGACAAAAATCTGCCCCTAACACTCAAAGGTAAAATAGAGCTTGGCCCATGTGTAACTCACCACTTGAATTAAACAAACTGGTCTACACTACGTTAATCAAGATTATCATACACTTGACGCCGGCCACAAAGTCCACTTGCTCTAGATGCTTCTAAATGCCTAGTCTCAAGTTCCATATGTATCTTGTTGCAGACCAGCAACAGTTTGAGGGCACGGTTAATTTTATGTGTCAACTCAACTGGGCCAGGTGGTACCCAAACATGTGGTCAAACATCACTTTGGGTGTCTTTGGATGAGGTTAGCATTTAAATTGGTAGACAGAGTAAAGCAGGTGTCCTCCCCTGGTGTGGGTTGGCTACCTCCCATTAGATGAAGGCAAGAATAGAACAAAAATGCTGACCATCCTCCAAATTCAAGAGAACTCATCTTGCCTGACAGCCTTTGAATTGGGACATCACCTTTTTCTTGCCTTCGAACTCAAACTGAATCATCAAATCTTCCTGGATCTCGAGCCTGCTGGAATTTGGACTGGAACTACACCATGAGATCTCCTGGTTCTCAGGCTTTCGGACTCAGACTAGAACTACACATCGGCTCTCCTGGGTCTCCAGCTTGCTGACTCACCCTGCAGATCTTGGAACTTGTCAGCTTCCATAATCACGCAAGCCAATTCCTTACAATAAACATAGCTGTATATGCACTCTCTATTGGTTCTGCTTTTCTGAAGAGTCCTGACAAATACAAGGACGAACAACGACCTTCAAATTACACCTTGAGTGGCACTGCCAATCTCTAGTCTCCAT